CTCTCGGGGTTCACTCTCTGCCCTCTGAGGCTGGAATTACAGGCAAGCTGTCCCATCACCTGGCACTTATATGGATTCCAGGGATCCAAACACCTATCTTCACGCTTGCTGTTACAGAAACCTTAATCACCGAGCCATTTCTCTGGCCTTTGGTCTGCTCTTTTTGAGACAGGTAGCCAGTCTGTCCTCAAACTCTCCATCTTCTACCCCAGTTTCCAAGTCGTTAGTACTGGAAACACATGCTACCACACCCAGCTTTAAAAATGTGGAGGGGACAATAATAAGACAGCAGCTTGACTTCAGTTGGAAGCAAGGCCACCTGTGACTTCTGCCCAGAGGTCATGTTCAGATGGCAATGTGGGCATACTCAGAAAAGTCGGTGTCATAGTTTGTCTGTATAACTTAAATTCTGAAGTGGAAATACCCACATCTGAAGTACATTTTAATTTTAAGTAGATTCTGGGTTTAGCCTGAATGTAAAGTACAAATGCTCTTTCCCTGTGTTTGCGCACGAGAGCACCGAGGCTCCCATACTCATGCCACTTGGTTGTTTGCGCAGGCCAGCATCCTTGTGTACCCCTGGAGCAGAAGCCACCCTACCCTTGAAACCTCTCATGAGTTCTGAGGCCTCAGCCTGACTTGGCTGCTGTCTTTAATTCCCAGAGATAGTATCAGAGTCCTGAATGGCTTTTCTCGTTGCAAGTGTAAAGCCTACAGTTCCAACAAAAACAGTGGGTGATTGAGAAGTGTAAATCTGCAGGTGAGTGGAAGCCTTACAAAATGCCTCCGTGTGCTTTAGGTGCAGTGAGGGTTCACGACCACGGAGGGATTTGTAGTTCATTTTTTTAAGCAGCTGCATCCCATTTGGAGGGCCAGTCTTCCTGATCCTCTGCTTTCCTTTCCTCGTCTATAGGATTGGTTGCTCAGCTGACTTCAGTGCTTCCCTCTTCTTCATTTCAGCTTTCATTTTATTGGTTGTTACTGTATCTCCAACCCTAACCTCCGTAGGCACCTGCACTCGTATGCATATACACACACAAACATGTTAAGACAGACAAAACATTACATCCCTACTGAGCACGTAGATATTTTTCCTTATTATAGCTCCCTGACCAACACAGAATGGCAACGATTTGCATAGCATTGCTATTGTGTTAGGTATCACATGTAACCTAAAAATGACGTAACTATCTGAGAGGATATCCATAGATGGCTTGCAAATATGCCGTTTTACACAAGCGTCTCAGAGCTAATCCCCTGTGGGTGTCTAAGGATGACTCTGTAGCCAACTATTTTTGCTCAGTCTTTTCTCACTTGGAATTATTCTATATTTTTATTGTTGCTGAGCAGGGTTTCACTTTGTATCCCCTGCTGCCCTCCAATTCCTTGTGTTGCTCAGGCTGGCCTCTAACTCAGAGATCTGCCTACCTCTGCCTCTTGAGTACTGGGATGAAGAATGTATGACACTACACCTGGCCACGTCAAACTTACTTAATGTATCTGTTTATGCTTATTAAAACTGTTTTGCCTATTTTTGATTGCTTTATTTTAACTATTAGCTAAAGATGTGGAAACGTTATTCCCAGAACCCATAGTGCCCATGTTTCTGCTTCCTGGTAGAAGTTATATCAGGGCCCCCCTGTTTTTCAAAGTTCTGTTTATTTTATGGGTATGAGTGTGTGCCTAATATATTCATGTGCACCCTATGGGCCAGTGAGATGGCTTCGTGGGTAAAGCACCCGTCACAGAGTTTGATCTCTGAAACCCGTGTGTCACAAGGAGAGAACTGACTCCTACAAGTTGTCTTCTGACTTCCACGCACAAGCTGTCCATGTGCCCTGGCTCCGTAAACACCACAAATGAGTTCTTGTCTCCTTGTTTCCTTTCCTTTTGACTTCCACTACAACTTTTACCAGAATGTGCTTTATGTAGTGTGGCTCTTTGTGAATGGGATTTCTGGTATTTGGTGAGCCTGTTCTTGTGTTGAGTCAATGCAGAATCCTGAGCAGCTTTCTTTATTCTGTTCAATTATTTCTCATTGGTTTTTCATAATGTTTTCTACAACTCTTTTAATACTTTTTAGACCTACTAGAGTCTACTACTGATACACTAATTTTCCAGCCATTACTCTACAACCCTTTCTTCCTTCCATCATTCCTACTTATTTCTTTTTGTTTGTTTCTTTTCTTTCTTTTTTCTTTCTTTCTTTCCTTCTTTTTTTTTTTTTTTTTTTTTTTTTTTTTTTGGATACAGGGTTTTTCTGTAGCTTTGGAGCCTGTCCTGGCACTTGCTCTTGTAGACCAGGCTGGCCTCCAACTCACAGAGATCCGCCTGCCTCTGCCTCCCGAGTGCTGGGATTAAAGGCGTCTGTCACTACTGCCCAGCACTACTTATTTCTTGACTTTTTTGCCAACCTATTTAATCTTTTTGGGAAAAAATAGTTTTATTTATTATTATTGGTGTGTGTGTGTATACAGGGACACTTCCATGGTATTCCTTCTATCCTTCCTACTTCTTGACTTTTTTTTTTTGCCAATCTACTAAATCTTTTTGAAAAAAGTATTAGTTTTATTTATTATTATTGTTAGTGTGCGCATACAGGGACACTTCCATGGTATGCGTGGAGGTCAGAACACAAACCTTCCTCAGCATTCTGGGGCCCAAAGTCTGGATATCAAGCCCGAGCAAAAACAATTTACCGACAGATCTGTCTCATTTGGCCCTAATTTATTACAATTGTAAACATATGTAGCACTGTTTTTTTTTTTTTCTTTTAGCTTTTTATACTATTAGTTACAGTGTTTGTTTAAATGCAGTGGGAGGGGCTTATCTTAGTCACTGTTGTATTGCTACGAAGAGGCATCATGACCAGGGCAGCTTTAGAAACGAATTTAGTTGGGGGCTTACTTACAGCTTGAGGGTTAGTGCATTATTCTCCTGTCAGGGCATGGTGGAAGCATGTGGCACTCATGGTGCTGGAGCAGTTAGTGAGAGCTGCATTCTGATCTGCAAGCAGGGAGAGTGACACTGGACCTGGTGTGGGGCTTTTGAAACCTCAGAGCCCACTCCCAGTCCCACTCCTCCCCAGCAAGGCCACACCCCCTAATCCTTCTCAAACAGTGCCACTGGCTGAGTGACGAAGCATTCAAATACATGGGCCATTCTCATTCTAACCACCACAGGACTGACCTTAAGGTTGGAATCTCCCAAACACAATCGCCAGAGTGCTAGGAAACGTTCTCATGATAATTACTTCCAAGTCTTTCCACTGACAAGAGCTTCATTACAGCAGTGGGGGCGCAGCTCTGTTTGTGGGTTCCTTGCTTATCATGCACCTTCGGAGTCCTGCCTTTGATCCCGGTGCCGTGCAAATCGTGCGCATGCCTTGAAGAGGCAGGGGGAGTGGACGCTGTAAGTCGTCTTCAGTTACATGATGCTTTCAGGACTATCCTGGCTCACCCGAGACCCTCAAAAAGAACCTTGGCAGCTATTAAGAGCATGTATTGCTCTTTCATGGAACCTGTGTAATGATAACTCTTTCTGTCAGCTGCCTGAGTTCTGCTGCCGCTTCAGGGCCCCCAAATGACACACAGAGACTTACATTAGTTACAATGCTATTGGCCAATGACTAGGATTTCTTATTTGCTAGCTCCGTCTTAAGTGTTAACCATAACTATTAATCTATATATTTTTATAAGGACTTAACCTTAGCGAGGACGCTGGACTCATGCGTCCTCTCTTCCTGGGATCACACGGTGACTTCTTTTACTACATTTCCCAGAATCTTCCTTGACTCCTGGTCCCACCTATCTTGCTTCCCTGTTGGCCAATAAGACAATCATATACACAGAAGGACCTCTCCCATCAAACCTGAGTTCAGTTCCCAGCACCCTCACTGGGTTGCTCACAAAGCCTGTAAGTAGCTTCCGGGGATTTGGTGCTTGTGACCTCTGAAGGTACTGGTGTGCACATACGCCCACCTACACAAAAACACATAAATAAAACTTAAGTCTTTAAAACACTGAACAAATAAAAAGAGTTGGAGGTATCAGCTATTCGTTTACATTTAATTTATAAACATCTACTATTCCCAAATTATAGAACTCTAGCTATGTTTTGTTTTTGTTTAGTTATAATTTCTTGACAGGAGGTCTCAGTCTGTAGTTTAGGCAACCTGGAAGTTAGCTCAAGCTAACTTTGGACATGGGCTGGCATTTACACTTAAAGCAGTCCTTCTGCCCTTGCCTCCCAAGTGCTGAGAGTACATACGTGAACCACTCCATTTGACTCTATAATCTTTTTGTTTAGATCTGCCACAGATGAATTTTGTTTCTACCTGATACCCTTATTTATAGGGTTTTTAGTCAAGCTAGTTCAGTGCTTTCTGAGCTTTTAGTTTCCTAAGTTCTTTATGCCCACTGGTGTTTAGTTTTCATAAGTGTTACCTCCATGCTTTTAGTCCTTTTATTACCATTTTAATGAAATTTCTAGAAAATGACATTAAAAAAATATTGTTAGGCTGGGTGTTGGTGGCGCACGCCTTTAATCCCAGCACTCGGGAGGCAGAGGCAGGAGATCTCTGTGAGTTTGAGGCCAGCCTGGTCTACAAAGGAAGATCCAGGACAGCCAGGATTGTTACACAGAGGAACCCTGTCTTGAAAAAACCAAAAAAGAAACAAAAACAAAAAAAAAAAAAAAAAAAAAAAAAAGACAGTCCTCTGCATCAGTGGCCTAAGTTCTGGAATTACAAAAGTGACCTACGATGTGTGACTTAGTCTTTTTTTAATAGCACATTTCTGTAGTTTTTTTTTAGTAAAAATGAGAGAATTCACAGGTTGTTAAGGATCTTATTGATAAGGTAATTTATTGGATACTTACTACATTCCAGACACCAACATTTTTACCCTTGTTAATTCTTTTTGTAACTTGTTGTTCTCTTTCAGAAACAGTGTCTGGAGTTTATACACAGAGAAGGACACAGGATGAAAGACTTGTGAGTTGTCTCATCTCTTAGGAAAAGCTAGGAGACAAAGTATTTCCTCTGGGCACAGACATTGTATATGAGACTCAGTTGAAGAAAATTTGAAGTTAATTTGCCTACATTCATAATTTACTTATGAAAATGAGAGAAACTGTCAGAAAGAACCATTAATATAAAGGCTGTGCTGTATGTCAGTCCCTTCTTGTACTCACGTAAAAGTCTCATTATAATTCAGTTTCATTAGATTCTTGTGAATTAAGACTGAAAAGAAATTCCTATGCGTTTATTGTGAATTCGGAAAAGCTTTCATCCTCGCTCAGTAGAGGCTAGGGAGAAAATCCTTGTACGGAACGGAATGTTGGAAAGTCTTCACCCTGAGTCAGGTCTTCTGCATGATGAACTCAGTCCTGGAGAGAAACTTTATGAATGTAATGAATGTAGCGAAACCTTTAGCCTCAAACAAACCTTTGTAGAACACAAGAAAACGCATAGTGGGGAGAAGTCCCATGAATGTCCAGAATGTGGCAAATCGTTTTCCCGAGTCTCATCACTTACCCTGCATTTGAGGAGTCATGCACGGAGGAAGTCATGTAGATATAGCAAATGTGGAAAAGCCTTCAGCCAGAGAGGTAACTTCCTTTCTCACCAGAAACAACACACCGAAGAGAAACCCTGTGACTCGGAGAAAACGTCCATTCCGATGACACCCCTCGTCAAAAATCAGACAAACGCTGGAAACAAACCATTTGCATGTAAGGAATGTGGGAAAGCTTTTAATGGCAAATCATATCTCAAAGAACATGAGAAAATTCATACTGGAGAGAAGCCATTTGAATGTAATCAGTGTGGAAGAGCCTTCAGCCAGAAGCAGTACCTCATTAAACATCAGAACATCCATAGTGGAAAGAAACCTTTTAAATGTAATGAGTGCGGTAAGGCGTTCAGCCAGAAGGAAAACCTGATTATACACCAGAGGATCCACACTGGGGAGAAACCTTATGAATGTAAAGGATGCGGGAAGGCCTTCATTCAGAAGTCAAGCCTCATCAGGCACCAGAGAAGTCACACTGGAGAGAATCCTTACACGTGCAAGGAGTGTGGGAAAGCCTTCAGTGGCAAATCAAACCTCACTGAGCATGAGAAGATTCACATTGGAGAGAAACCCTATAAATGTAACGAGTGCGGAACGATTTTCAGGCAGAAGCAGTACCTCATCAAACATCACAATATCCACACGGGTGAAAAGCCCTATGAATGTAATAAATGTGGGAAAGCCTTCTCCCGGATTACGTCACTCATCGTGCATGTGCGGATTCATACAGGCGATAAACCGTACGAATGTAAAATCTGTGGGAAAGCCTTCTGTCAGAGTTCATCCCTTACAGTGCACCTGAGGAGCCACACCGGTGAGAAGCCCTACGGTTGCAGCGAATGCGGGAAGGCCTTTTCTCAGTTCTCAACTCTTGCTTTGCACATGAGGATCCACACTGGCGAGAAGCCTTACCAGTGCAGTGAGTGTGGCAAAGCTTTCAGCCAGAAGTCACACCACATCAGACACCAGAAAATCCATATTCACTAGAACTCTATAAACGCCTTAGATTTAGGAACGCCTGAGCAGAATGTATGGTTAGTAATATATCAGAAGATTCGTCTTACGTTAAATTTATACAAGTGTAGGAAGTCCTTCCGTAGGGACTCAAAGCTGAAAGTACAAAGAAAGATATTTAGTAAGATGTATTACAGTATGTTATACACTTCCCAGACTCTCAAACAGTATTTTAATTTTAGGACCCTTCTCAATGAACTTAAGAGTCCAGTTAGCAGAGTCTTAGAAAGCTTATCAAGTATATCAAGATAATATGAGCAATATAAAGGTTTGAAATTAAGAGGCAAAAATATTTTTGATATATGCTTTGCTATTTGGATAATTTGTGAAAATCATTGTCCCAAAAAGGCATTTTGGGACAGAGTCTCCCTATGTACATAGCCCAGGGTGACCTTAAACTCACTGTGTAGCCCAAGCTGGCCTCAGGCTTCTGGTGATGCTCTTACTCCGTCTCCCAGTGCTGCAATTGCAAGCGTACAGCTCCATGCCTGCTCAGAAGTCTTTGTTGGTAGAGCTGTATAAAGTTGAGGTCAGGACAGAATAGTGAATCTAGAAACGTGGATGAATTCATGGGGGATTGGTAATTGATACTGCCAGAAATCATGGATGACTTAAAACATAATCTCAGGATAATTAACTTTTGGGGGAAAATAACAGACCTCTGATGTCCTCAGTTATTGAAGTATTTCTTAGGAATCCAGTGTCTTTGCAGAAATCAAAGCTTTGTATAAAATTTCTAAGAGGATGATGGTTTCTGAGACTTGAGTAGGAGAGAGATTGTAGATTCTAGAGCCCTCAGCTGTCACTCTTGAGCATTTGTACTTGTCAAGAAACTGATAGGCTTACTTAGGGAGTCATGTACCAGTCGGTCTGTTCATTGCAGCACCAATTATGGGAACAAAAACGGGCACAGGTGTTTGCTGATTATGAAGCAGATGAATAAAATGTAAGTCATACAGTAGAATACTCTAGCAGCTAAGCACAGCAGGCTACATCCATGTTAACACGAAAGGAAAAAAGGAGAAGAAAAAAATCAGCATGGAGACAATGGAATTGATGGATATATTGTCATGATTCCTGTGTAAATTTGAGTAAAATCCATTTGTCTAACTAAGCATTGCTTATGGGAAACACTTTTCTCTACAGCTAGAATTGGGAGAATGTGTATTTAGTTCCCAAAAAGTGGCTGCTGCTGTTATAGTAAGAATGGAGTTTTATAGAAATGAAATGTGACAAAGCAGAGAAATTAAATGCTACTCCAGTTTTATATCTAAATATCTACTTTTCATTAAAAATAAAGATTCCAAATAAATGTAACCAATTGGTGGCTCTATGTTGTGGCAAAATATATTCTGTGCTATTTTTCTTAAAAACGTAGATGTGGATGAGAAACATTGTTAAAACAGTCCATTATATGTGTGGGGTACATCCCAAGGCCCCTAGTGGATATCTGAAGTCCTGTATAGTACTTAACTCTGTGTTAGGTTTTCCTATATACATATATACCTGTGCTGAAGCTTATAAACTCCCTAAAAGTCTAACAGCAACTTTTTACACAGCATAGTAACCTCAGTATATGACTCTCCCCCATTCTTATTGAGAACATACATGGGTTCCAGTAAAGGAACTGCGGCTTCACTTCTGCATTCATACTCTTGGGCTTTGGAGCCATTATTGAGTAAAATAAGTGTTGCTGTGTAGTTTCTGTCCATCGACTGGACCCAGACTAATAAAATTTGGAAAAGTCGTACCCTGATCTGGTTGCTGCTGCTGCTGCTGCTGCCTCCTCCTCCTCCTCTTCCTCCTCCTCCTCCTCCTTCTTCTCTCTTTTCTGCTGTGGGTTTGGTCCTTTTGCTTGGGGCCTGGATTCCTCAGTGCTCTAGATCATGCCAAGAGATTGGTGATTGTGTCCCTTGGTGTGGGTGGCTTGGGACTTGGGAGTGGCGTCATGTTACCATGACTAACTGCAGCAAGAAAAACCAAAAGCCTGTGGAATATCATATCAACTTTCAGTCTTCAGTTTTCTGACTATAATAAAGGAAGACCTTCCCTCAAGGTCTTTGTAGCCCGGCCCAGCTGTCCTGGAACTAAATAGACAAGGCTGGCTTTGAATTCACAGCAGTTCTGCCTCAGTCTTGGATAACAAGTGTCAGGCATTATGCTAGACTGGACTGTAAACCTCAGACAAGAAACTATGACATGTTCTTTTATA